CGGATGGAGGATGTTTGGGTTGGCAGCTGCACCGGCGGGATGGTGGAGCTGGGCAGGGAAAATACATCCCAGGCTTGTGCTGGGGGAGGGAGATTGAAAACCCAGGAGAAGAACCCAAACATGGGAATTAATGCTCTTCTGAGAGTGGAGCTGCTTCCAGAGCAAGGAGTGGTGGAGCAGCAGGACCTGGGAGCTGCCACCTTCATCTGAGGGTGGTGGAGACCCAAGGGAGGACAAAGACCAGGAGGAGCATCAGGAAAGAAGGGAATGGCTGGGTGCTATCTCCTTCAAAATGGGCTGAGATGTCCTCTCCTCTCCTCTCATCTCCTCCCCTAAGGCAGGAGGATCCCTTTGTCCTGCCAAGGACACCCCTTTAATGGTGGGGTGATGGAGGGACTCTCACCATGCAGACAGCATCAGGATGGGGAAGGAGGCAGTGTTTTGGATCTGCCCTGGGTTTATTCCCCTTGCTGTGATCAGAGGATAGTGCTGGGCATCACCACAGGAGGGACAGGGAACGGGCAGCACACGCCGCTGCGCTGCTCTGCTGTGTACCTGCGTCCTGGGGTGCCTCGAGAACAGGCGATGAGGTTTTCCTTGGAGCTATCTCCTTGGAGCTACCCAGATTCCAGCCAAGTCCTGTTCCATCCAGGAAAGGGAGCAGTTATCCTCATGAACCCGGCCCGGCACGTGGTCTGAATTAGCCTTTGATAAAAGCAGTTCTGTGGGACACGTCCTCACACACCACCGACACCGCTGCTGGGATGCAGAAGCCGGAGCAGGAAAGGAGCTGAAAGGAAAAGCAATGTTTTCTTGGACTGTTTTTTTAGGAGAAGATGGACAGGACGCTTTGGGAAAGGAGACAGAGTTACGAGGAAGAAGGCTGCAGAGTGCCTGTGGTTTGCCAGAGTGGCTGCAGTTGTCCAGCCTGGCTGGATGTGCTTCTGGTACTGTGATATAGGGATGATAAAGGAAAACCTGTGCTTGGGGATGTGCTCCTCCAAGAGGAGGGCTGGGACATGCCAGAGCAGCTCCTGGTGCCTCACCTCTGCTGTCTCCATCACCCGCTCCTGGCTGTGGTACGGGCTGAAGCCGTGTTTCATCATCCCTGCACTTGCCAGGCGCTGGGAGCCAAGCCCGGGAGCCTGTCAGAGGAGCAGTTCCTGATGGGCAGAATAGTTTCCATCTGATGCTTTCCCCAGCTAATGAGGCTGGAGCCGGGCGCCTGGAGCTCCGCACCGGAGGCTCTTCCTCACAGCACAGCGTTTCCCCAGCTCCCGAGGCCAGGGTGAACTGGTTTCCCCTCTCTGGCCGGGCTGGAACGTGCTCCCAGCTGGAGGGCCAGGCCTGGGGCCGGGGAGCTCGGCTGTCTCCTGGCTGCACAGCTCCCTCTCAGCCCCACAAACGTTTAAGGTCGGCCCTGCAGTGTCTGCCCGGGGCTGCAAAGCTCTGGCCAGCGTCTGAGCTGACTCAAGACGTTTTCTTCCCCTCCCAGAGCAGCCACTCTGGCATCCTGCACGCTTCCTGAGCCTGGAATGTGCAGAGAGAGGCTCTTCTGGCCCTGGGAAATACAACTGCTCTTTGGGATAAGCCTCTGGATTTTCAAGGTTTGGGGGAGAAGCACTCCCTCTCCTCTTCACCCCATGGAGGGAGATGAGTCCCAGCCTCAAGGCAGGGGTGAGAGGAGGTGACTACAGCTTCATGTCCTGTTTTCTCCTCCTCCTCCTCCTTCCCAAATACACTCCTGATGGGCCTTTCCCTGCTGGGCATCCAAAGTCCTGAGCATCCCTGAGCTTCTCCTCCCCTTCAGCCTGATGAGATTAAGACAAGCATGACCAGCAGTTTGAGGGAGGGGATCCTGCCCCTCTGCTCTGCTCTGGTGAGACCCCACTTGCAGCCCTGTGTGCAGTGCTGGGGTCCTCAATGTGAGGACATGGAGCTGTTAGAGCAAGTCCAGAGGAGGCCACGAGGATGCTCAGGGGCTGGAGCAGCTCCTGTATGGAGACAGGCTGAGAACACAGGGGCTGTTTAGGCTGGAGAAGGCTCCTGAAGGGGAGACCTCAGAGCAGCTTCCAGTGTCTGAAGGGGGCTACAAGGATGCTGGGGAGGGACTCTTCACTGGGGACTGTAGTGACAGGACAAGGGGTGATGGGTTCAAACTGCAACAGGGGATGTTCAGGTTGGAGATAAGGCAGAAGCTCTTCCCTGTGAGGGTGCTGAGGCGCTGGCACAGGGTGCCCAGAGAAGCTGTGGCTGCCCCATCCCTGGCAGTGTTCAAGGGCAGGTTGGACACAGGGGCTTGGAGCAAGCTGCTCTAGTGGAAGGGGTCCCTGCCCGTGGCAGGGGTTGGAGCTGGAGGAGCTTTAAGGTCCCTTGTAACCCAAACCAATCTGGGGTTCTATGGTTCTATGAGATATGTCCCTGCAAGCAGAATGATAATTCTCTTCCCTGCATAAGGCTGCAGGTTAAAATCTGAGTTTTATTACCCCAAGAAGCCAAAACACTCATTAATCCCATTATGGGCTTGGATGAAGAGCTGAATCACAGCTCTATTTGTTATGGTTGCTAGGTATGTTGCTACATCCCCCGATCCCAATGTATCTGTGATGTCCTGGTGTGGACATCAGGGAATTGGGTTAGCTGCTGTTGCCAAATTCAGCTGTATTTTGGGGAAAAGAAGAAAAGAGCCATTGAGGAGCTTCCCAGGAGTGTAACTTCTTCCCTGACAACACAAGCACATGGAGGGATATTGAAGCAAACAGCTACACACTGCTCCTGCAGGCACAGTTTTGGTTAAAACCAGTGAATCCCAGACTGGTTTGGGTTGGAAGGGACATAGAGTTCATCTAATTGCAGTCCCCAAGCCATGAGCAGGGAATAACACGGCTGTTGCACCTGCACGTGCTGCAAGAAACCAGGAGCCAGGTTTTAGTTCATTTTTAAACCCCCTTTTTTCCACTCCTCCCATTGTCCAGGGAGATGCTGCTGAGCCCTGTGGGTGCTGGCTCCACACATGACACTGAGCTGGGGCTAATTACCTATAATTAGCCCTAATGACCCTCAGTGGCCCACCTGAGGCATCACCTACACCACTCCTGTGCTCTCCAGAGCCCTGTTTCAGTCCCTGAGCTGCAGAAAAATGGTTCTAATGCTTGTGTTGGTTTCCTGGTTTGACTTTGAGCTCTCATCTCCATGAGCTCTGTGTGATGGGATGGAGCCTTGGCTGCTGAAGCTGCCCCGCTCACCTTGCTCAGGTACCAGCCTGGTGTGTGAGACACTGGAGATGGCTCCTTCCTCATGGATGCGAGGCTGCAATTTGCCTCTGAGAGGGGAAAAACATCCCTCCCAAAAGGGAACCGATGTGGGTGTTCTGTCTTCTTTATTTTCTGCTAGGATTGCTGGCACTGGAAAAACAGAGTCATATGTCCCAAAAAGCCCTGTTAGCCAAGGAGACCGGCCTGTAAAGGAAAATAAGTTGATGTAACTTGGGATTTGTCCAGAAAGTTTTGACAAAGTCCCTCAGAAGACAATATTGAGGGGAAAACTGGTTGGGGAACAACAAACAAGCTTCTCCTGGGGGCTATGAAGTGCTGAGAGTCAGCAGAGCTGGAGCAGGGATGCGAGCCCAGCTCCTGGCATGCGGAGCTCTGGCAGGTGGGATATCTCCAGCCTGTGGTGCTGGGAGCACACATGTAAGGGTTATGGAAGGAAAGATGAGCAATGAGTGACAACATCTGCAGCTGATGCTGAGCGGGGCAGGAGCACCCTGAGATGGGGATGAAAGTGGAGATGTGGGGCTGCAGAGGAGCATGGGGAATTCACCACCAGTGTGGAGCAACACATGGAGAGCTGCTGCTCGTCTTACTGGATCATGGAGGACATGGAATTCCAGACTGGTTTGTATTGGAAGGCAGCTTAAAGCTCATGCAGCCACGGGCAGGGACACCTTCCACTAGAGCAGGCAGCTCCAAGCTCCTGTGTCCAACCTGGCCTTGTGTTCATCATTATTGGCTTCCATAATGCTCTTCAGCATTCCATTAAGTGGCTCCCTACAAGTGCCTGAGAGGAGGATGGAGCCAGGAGGGGCTGGGCTCTGCTCCCAAGGAACAAGGGATGGGACAAGAGGAACCGGCCTCAAGCTGCACCAGGGCAGGTTTAGATGGAGCTGAGGAACAATTCCTGCCCCAGAGGGTGCTCAGGCATTGGAACAGGCTGCCCAGGGCAGGGCTGCAGGCACCGTCCCTGCAAGGGTTCACAGCCCGTGGAGACGAGGCCTCAGTGCCATGGGGCAGTGGTGGCCTTGGCAGTGCTGGGGTAAGGGCTGGACCGGATGAGCTTCAAGGGCTTTTCCACCCCGGTTGACTCCGTGATTCTACTGAGGATTTCTGAACGAGTTTCTCGCGGGCCGCACAACCCCCGTTAACGAACCCCGCTCACTGCGGCGCTGCTCACAAACGCCCTTCCCCCGCACGCAGCCTCCTCAAGGCCCCGTTCCCCGGTTCCCCGCTCCCCTCGGCGGTGCCCGGATGTGCCGCTCCTCACCACAGGGCAGCGCGCGGCGGCGGGAGGCGGGGCGGGGCTCTGGCGAGGCGGAAGCGGCGCGGGGACGCGGGGCGGGGCGGGGCGGGCCCGGAAGCGCGGTGACGGGCGGCGCCCCCCGAGGCCCCGGCCGCCATAACGGGCGCGCGCCCACGTGACGCCAGGCCGCACGCAGCGGCGGGAGCGCGCACGGCGGGAAAAGCGTGTGTGTGTGTGAGGGGCGAGGGCGTGGCCTCTGCGCGCTCGCCCTACGTCACGACGGCCGTGACGGGCGTGTGGGCTCCACCAATAGGCGCCCCCGCCGGCGGCGTGACGCGGCTCGGCGGGCGGGCGGGGCCGAGCGGCGGCGGTGGGAGGAGCGCGACGGGAGGCGGCGGGCAGCGTGAGGCGACGCCATCGCGGCCCCGGCGGGCGCGGAAGACGCCGTGGTGGTGGTGGCGGTGGTGGTGGTGGACGTGGAGGTGGTGGCGGCCGCGCGGCCGCGGAGCCAGCCCGGGGGGGGGCGAGCGGCGGGGCTCGCTGCTGCTGCCGCCGCCGTCCTCGTCCTCCGCCGCCCCGCCGCCGCCATTTTGTGAGAGCGGCTCGAGCGGGCGCCATGTTTGTAAGGAAGAATTAGGGCAGCCATCAGCGGCCAGCAGCACCTCCCTTCCCCCGTGTGTGTGTGTCCTCTCCTGTGCCCCGGGCCTGCTCCTCCGAGCCGCCGCCGCCGCTGCCGCCTCCTCCGCCTGCCCGCGCGGGGCGGCCGGGCTCAGCCTGTGCAGCCTCGCCCTGCACTGAGTGCCCGTTAGTGTCTCACTAAGTAACCGTGAGTGAAACCTTCATCATCTCTCCTCACTGAGGGACCCGACCCTCCTCCTCACCGAGCCGCCCCCAGAGCGGCTGTGCGCGCCGCCGCCGCCGCCACCACCTCCTCCTCCTCCCTCCGCACCACGGGCAGCGGCAGTGTCCTGCCTGCCTCCACCTCCCTCCTCCTCACCACACCACAGCCAGCACAATGGCCTTTGAAAGCCTGTTCTCCAAACCCCCAAACCCAGTTCTTGACCCAAACATGCCCGACTCTGACAGGCAACATGCAGGGGACGAAAGGTCGAGTAACATTCTTCTCTCTCTCTCCGCTTCTCATAATGGTGATACTAGTGGGGTGATGCTGATAATGATGATGATGATGATGCTGTGTGTTAATGTGCCGAGGGGGTTAACGATGTTTTTGTGGGGGCAGGTCACCTTCAGGCTGGAGGACCGGGGTGGTGGTGGTGGTGGGGGGGGATGCGAGGAGGGGAGGAGGGGGGTGACACTGGCTTTAGAAGTGCATATTATTAGCAGGGGGTTATTTTTTGGAATGCATGCCTTTTTACATCTTCATTTATTTATTCTGGCTGGGGACGGGGACTGTTTTCCATTTCTTTCCATAAATTGCACTTTCCAGGGGGTGTCTGTTGAATGTCACCATTGTTCTTTGCCTGCCTTGCCCTGGCGCTGCTAGTCAGGTAGGAAAGGGTGCTCTGAGCTGGGGTTTCCTCTTTTTGGTTGGTTTTGTTTATAGCAGAATCTCTCACCAGAGCCATATTTAACCTCATTTTTTTGCCAGATTACACCTTCCCCATTTAACTGGATCTTTTTTTATGCAGATTAAGCTCTGACTGACGTTATCTTTGCCACCTCTCAGTCCCCATGCGCAGTCCTGGTGAAAGGACCTCTGTTCCTCCCTCCTTCCCTCCCTTTCTCTCCTGCAGCTGCTGGAAACTCAAACCCTTCCTCCACGCAGCCCTGGCCTGCCTAACTAGTTCCAGAGATACAGTGCCAGGGTGGCAGGGACCAGCCCTTGAGTCCTCATCTCCCCGTGTCACAACTGCAGGAGTTAGAACTGCTGGGTTGCCACGGCTGCCCTCCCCACACAGCTCCGCAGCCCTGCTTGGTGCTTGTCTCGGAGGACTGGAGCAATAAAACCCAACAGGAAAGGGCTGGTGAGCGAACGTAAGTGTTCCCTCGCTGGAGGAAGAGTCACAGCCTGTGGTATGAAGTGGAAGGGCCATGCAGAGCTGAGGGACTGCTCCAAAACCGGTGCTGTGGTTTAGCGACAGGGTCAGGGCAGAGCTCGGAGCTGCCGGTTCTTGGTTTCACCTCCCTGCTTTTACTTGTGTAAGTTGAGTCATGCTCTGTGTTCCAAAGGAGCGCTGTGTCCAAGCAGAGCAGTGGTCCGCTGGGACCGCTGGAGGTGCCTGTTAGAACTGTGCAGCAGCAGCAGGCAGAGTGGTCCTAGAGCTCCTTTGTGCTGTTTCAGGGTTGCAAATACTTTGTGTTTCCAAGTCCTCGGTGAGGACGAGCCCCCGTTACCCCCTGTGCTGCTGGGAGCACAGTTGTCCTAAGTGGGAGTTCCCCGTGCCCTGGTGACAAGTAGAATTCCTCTCACCAGCTCTCCCCACCACTACGCCTGTTGTGACACTGGTAACCGGTGGAGTAGAATAAATAACTACTACCTGAGAGTCTAATGGACGTGTTAAATACAGGGTAACGTCAAATAAACATGGCTTTATAATGTTTTCATTTCAGAAGAGCAGGAGGTTCAACAATAAACACATTTACCTGTTAAGTAATACTCTTTGTAAGCAAGACTTGCACAACTTCTGCTCCCCTGTGATCTGAAACGTGTAAAGTGTGTTCCTCATGCCCCCAGAGCGGTGTTAAAAAAGAAAGACGCCCCAAATGGAAGTCTTTGTGTTATATCAGTGAGCAAAGTATGAACTTCCTGCAGTGTATAAAGATTTCCCCACCAGCTGGGGAGGCCCAAAGAGAAACAGGATCTTTCCCTTCCACAGAAACCGTGCCAAAGGGGAGGCAGTTCTTTATGCACTGATAGCTCAGTAGGTACAGCCCATAACAGGAAGCTGCTGAAATCAGTGAAGGGATAAGGTCAGTTCATGCGGCATAAATGAGCAGCATTTCTGGTTAACATGTAGTTAGTTTGATTTTGAACCACTCTGTGGAATTCTAAAGAAGTTGCTTAGTGCTTTTGAGCAGTAGACAATGGTAAAACCCCTTTTGTGCCCATGCTTGGGCAATTTAGGACTGGAAGATTGTTTTAATCCAGGGTCTTTTGTTTTCCTTGTTTATAGACAGGCACCTGCTTGAGGAAGGAAGGGTTTCATTTTAGAGTTGTTTTTAGTTAACTCGTTGTGGAGACATTGGCTTTGATGGAGTGTTTGAGACTTTCTGCACACAGGTAAAAGGTTGGTGCTTCCTGGGAGGTCAGGGTTTATGAGGGATTGCTTTTATGTAGGGAGATAGGGTAAGAGCGAGCTCAGAGGCTGGGTGCTGCCAACCTCGGGGGCAGCAAATCCACACGGACCTGGGGGTAAATGTGCAAGTTCCTGCTCTCTCCCAAAGGGCTGATCCTTGTGAGAGGTTGTGGCTGCCGTCACCATCATCTGCAGGGCTGGGAGCTTCCGACTGCTCTTAAAACTCTTTAGTTTGAGGACATTGTCCCACCTTTGCCTCATGCTGTAGATAAAGCACGTGTCTAAGAGAGGAACTAAACACTTGCCACAGATAGAATGCAGTCCTCATGCATGGGCTGAATTCTTGTGTGGACTTTCATTTCTGACTAGCAGTGAGCTCTTACAGGCAGGGGAAGGGCTCGTGCTACAGTTGGTTCTGCCTTTAAACTCAGTGCCAGAGACTTCAGAAAGTAACTTGCAGTTCATTTATTTTTGCAGTCTAAACCACTGGGTTGGTGCTGACCCTTTCTGCTGGCTATTTCTGCTTTGCTGTCATTTAATCTCCATCCAGGAGATGCCTTATCCCATTATCTGCTGTAAAAATAGCAGTGACCTGGCAGAGGGCTGAGCACGGCGATGTTAACTCGCAGATCACAGGGGTGCAGGCAGGGCTCCTGCAGCCAGCAGGGTCTCGGGAGCTGCATTGCCAGGGTAAGAATCAGGCCCCTTTTTCTATGCTCATGGCACAGTAAAGGAAATCCAGTGTTAGGGACAGCTCTGGAGCAGGCACCTCAGTGACCTGTGGACTTTTTGCAGGCAGTTGTCCAGGTTTTTACAAGGGGTATTTGGAAATAGCACTTCAGAGCCAGGCTTGTCTGTTGCGTGTCAGGTTCCTTGCCCCCAGAACCCTGCTAATCCCCACTGTCCACTTCCCCATTGTGCATTTGATAGTTTCTACATTCAAACTGCAGTTGGTGCAGTCCCTTTATTATTCCTCAAGATAAACTGATTTTGAGCTTTAGGAGGTGTAGTTGAAGTGTTCGATCGTGTGACTGCTGCTAGCTGGGGTGCTGCTCTTCCAAGCCTCTCCTTTGCCAGCCACACATGCCCTGTGTCCATCCAGATAAGCCACAGACTTCACCCAGGCACCTATTGCTTTTGTTTTCCCAGTTTCCTCTTCCAGCTGCCTTAGGAATTGCCTGTTCCCTTCCCAGCGTAGCCCTCATGGCCTGGGCAAGCAGGACTCATGCTGCTGCTCTAACCGGTCTCGCTGGTTCACTCTGATGGAGACCTGCTCTGCTGAATTACAGCCTGTGGCAAGGGAAGGGAAAACCCCAAGTGGGGGTTGTAGCAGATGAGTAACAGCAAACTGAAATCTCTGTTATACCCTAGTTGTACTTTCTCTCCTTTACTGCTTAGTCAGTGTCCTGTTGCACATGGCTTTGTCTGTGTCTTGTCTCGAGCCGTGTGGCTCCTCAGCTTTACCAGAGCTGTACAGATCAGGGAAGCACTTGTGGAGCCAAAGGGCTGAAGATCCCCTCTAATCCTGGTTCCTATTGTTCAGCCCCACTGCTCTCCCTTCCCACAAGCCTTCCTTCCATCTTAAACTGGCAATTTAAATGCTTCTCTTTTGTTATACCTGCTGCTTGCTGTCCACGTGTGCATAGTTTGGCTTGAAAATGTTTGCTGGGAGCTGGTTTGAGAGATTATTCTTGCTTAGGTCAGTAATAGTTAATCACCAAAGAATGTGTTCATGTTTAGCTGGAGTTGTTTGTGAGCACTGAATGCAGCCTTGCAGTGATTTATTGTTCTCCAGCCTGATTTCAAAACTTGCTTTGCCATTAGGAAGCAGAGAGAGAATCACTCCCAAATCTGCCCTGAGGGCAAACACGGCTGTTTGCCATCCAGCAAACATTACAGGAGGCAAGACATGGCAGCTGGCTGGGTCACTGCTCATGCTCTGGGGAGGAGGAGGTGGCCTCTCTGAGCTCTGATTTCTTCTGCAGTGTTAAGCCCCAGAGACAGGAGACGGATGGGCAGCAGGGTGACAGTGTGAGCTGCCCAGAAGTTGCTCATTGCCCCCTAGTACCACCCCAGGAAGCTTTATTTTTGGCACTGCCGTCTTCCCACTTCCTTCCCCCCTGCTGTGGGAGCACAGTATCTGTTAGAGCCAGCCCTGGGATGAAAGCAGGACAGAGGTTAAAACCCTCCCAGCTCCCTGGTGTGTAACTTTGCATGCTGCAGTTCACTGCCTTGGTATAGATCAAGGTAGCGTCGTGTTTGCAGAGTGGCTGAAGCTAATGTGCAGCTGGAAAGTGCCACAGGTGACCTGCAGGGTGTTGTCAGAGAAGCCAGTGCTGATCCTTGCTGCACACCAGCTTGTGCTGTTAACTGCAAAAACCACCTTCTTGTGTGGGTGTTTCCTTTATTCATTCTCATTTTAGAATCAGAGAATCAACCAGGTTGGAAAAGACCTTTATGGTCATGGAGTCCAACCCTTACCCCAGCACTGCCAAGGCCACCACTAACCCATGGCACTGAGGGCCTCCATTCATAAATTCTTTAGTGTCACAGTGTCTAAAACACTTTAGCACTGTTAAGATCTTATTTTAGACTTAAAATTTTCATGTCATCAACTTGTGTATGAGTTATTGTCCTCTTTGTAAGTTCGTGGCACCCAAATCTTACCTGTTGGGAGTATTGTGGGTTCATTGTGTGACAGTGAACAGACAGGAAGCATGAGCTGGTGGGATGGCTATGCCCATCTGTGCAGTCACGAGTGCTGCACAGCATCATGTACTTCTGGGTGGAAAGTATGAGCAGGAGGGGTTTTTGGTGCAGCAGGAGTGTGTGGGGAGCTGGAATAAAGGG